ACAGACACTTTGTCTGGACCTTTCTGTTTCTTCATAGTCTTCTCCCCTCCTAATTGCATCCTTACAGAGCTTTAGAGAGGGTCTTCTTTTGGAAACATCTGTGGAGCTCTTCTTTGGAAACTCATGAGTTACCAACCATCCATTTACCCTGCTGAATTAACAAGCAGATGTTTGGCTACAGCATTGGCCAAAGTAAAAGAAGTGGCAGTGAATAAAAGCACCATTTTCCAATAACACCATCAGTAGCATGATATAAAAATTGCCAAGTTTTGAGGAGAAACAGTTGTTGTCATTTTTCTCTAGTAATTATTTCAGATGAGCAGAGTGGGTTTTTACTTCAAGTTCATGGTTTCTAAAAGCATTCATTTCCTTCGGGAATTTGTCTCTGTTTTATTAACAGCAGATTGTTTTCTCATATTGTAGCATTTATGGGGAGAAATCTGTAATTTTTATACACACTGACAAGTATATTATTAATAAAATACTGATAATAGCAGAAGGAAATCAGTTACCAAGTTCTAGAAGAAAAACTCAAACAAAAAAAGGGGTAATTGAAGAGCATGTTAAAATAGTGACCCAGACATGATCTCCAGAAGTGACCGGCTGTTGCCAGCTCCCTCTTTCATATCCTACATGATGCCCACAGCCACTGTGTAGCTTTGCATTCAGTGTGTAATGATCTCTGTATGTGCAGTAATACCGAGTCAGGACTTTGTGCCATGGGCTGTGGGACTGACTGTTGTGTAGTTTCACTTTTCTCCCAGGAGGAGAGTAGCTGAACACAGTGAGTAGCATAGCTGGGGGCTTTTTAAATGGGGAGTGTTGCTGGACACACGTATTTCGATGTCTGCCTGAGGCCCTGTGGGTATCTGTACTTTAACTGAGGATATTTTTCAGGACTCAGCCTGTCAGATCTCCTGTGGTGCCTGTTCTTCAGACTCATGCCCTCTGCTTGCACTCCAGTGGTTTACCCAGGGAAATCATAGCAGGACTGATGTTGGGGCTGTTCAGCCTGGAGAAGAGAAGGCTGCATGGAGACCTCATAGCAGCCCTCCAGTATCTGAAGGGGGCCTATAGGGATGCTGGGGAGCGACTCTTCATTAGGGACTGTAGTGATAGGACAAGGGGTAACGGGTTAAAACTTAAACAGGGGAAGTTTAGATTGGATATAAGGAGGAAATTCTTTCCTGTTAGGGTGGTGAGGCACTGGAATGGGTTGCCCAGGGAGGTTGTGAATGCTCCATCCCTGGCAGTGTTCAAGACCAAGTTGGACGAGGCCTTGGGTGATATGATTTAGTGTGAGGTGTCCCTGCCCATGGCAGGGGGGTTGGAACTGGATGATCTTAAGGTCCTTTCCAACCCTAACTATTCTATGATTCTATGATTCTATAAATCACACTGAGATGGAGTGTGTGCATGTATTGAAGAGGAGAGGGGAGGGAGGAAGTTGAGCCTGCTTGCACACTTAATAGGAAACACTTCCAAGGGGAATTCTGCTGGCCTAGCACAGCTCATGGCTAATGCACATTTGTTTTCCCACTTCCCAGAGCTGTCTGTTTTGCTGGAAGGTCTCAGAGCACACACCAGCATGCCTGTGAGATGGTGGCTGATACACTGCAGGCTTATGCAGTGACTCTCTTCCCATATGTTCTGGAGGATTCCCTGATGTATGGAAACCTTTGGCTGTTCCCCATACCTGTCACCTGGTTGTACCAAAATATGAACATTTGAAACCAGCAACACCACCTGGTGTGAATTCACAGTGTATTAATGAGTGCTGCTCCATAGCTGCCACATGGGTCCTCAGACACAGAGCTGAGAAAAGGCATCACTCATTGGCATGAAGCAAAACACTGTTTCTTTGCCCTTCTCTGCCTGTAAAACTGGATTGCTCAGTGCAGTCTTTAAAAGAACAACTTTCTTTAATTACAAGCAGACTCATAGTGGAAGCGCTATCTGGTAGCAGAAGCAAGGCATATGTGCAGAGAGGACACCTACATCTTTCTGGACGTTTTAATACTTCCTGCTAGTCAATAAGCGAATCTCTGTGCCTCTCAGTTTCCCCTGTGGAGACATAGAATGAGGTGTTGTAAGGCTTCATTTAAGCACCATCTGTGAGATGCTTTGAGATCCCTGGGATGAAGGGAAGGTAGTGGTGGATGTGTGTACTGGCATTTCCTGGAAATCAGACCTGTATTTTGGGGTGTGAGGAGGGATTTGCAATAGGCTGGGTTAGATTGTTAATGGCAATTTGCTTTAATTGCATTGTGGATTTGTTTGCATCAGCTTTACGCACAGTCTTGTTCCTTTCCTATTCATTTGGGGAACCCAACAGGGGATGGTTGATTTCCTACATTCATACACAGTGGAGAATTTAAAAACTTGAAAGAATCAATAGTGCTTCAGTGGTTTCATGAAACTGACAATTTTTTTCGTTGGCTTTATGAAACTGCTAGATTACACCAGATGGACTCATTTATCTCACTATGTCTTTATATATATATTTAGATGGCTCCCATCTCTGTGGGACTTGTGTGCCTCCCAAGTATTTTAAAATAGAAAAAAGCTGTTTCCTTCTCTGCCTTGCTTTCTATCTAGCCCGTAAGAGGAATAGCTTGATTAGCTTATATGGCTTGCATTTGTTGGGCTGGATGCTAGCATTCCCTACATGTTTCTGCGTGAAGAAATGAAGCTGAGGAGAGAAGTTTCGCATTTACTTCTGAATGAACTGAGATCGGGGTTGTTTGTATCTCCATGAGTCAAAGTAAGTTCCATAGTGCAGAAGCACCGCCTGGGAAGGATGAAATTCCCAGAGTCTTGTCTGAGCCCTTTGTCAATGGCTGCAGTGCTCCAACAAGAGGAAGAACAGTATGAAGGGCTTTGAATATCACAGAAGAAGACCAAAGTCTGTACTCAGTGAGAAACCAGGCTGTTCTCCATTGCCAAGCAGACATCTGCTGTGTTTTACACGCCTGTGGTTTATTTCAAAGCATAGGGAGTTGCAGCAATGAAGCTTCAAGACACAAATTCATGCATCAGTGTGTCCAGGTGTGCAATCCTCAGGATTAGATGCAACCTTCTGGCCAGGCCCACCAGGAAAAGGGCACTCCTGCTGACACTGTTCATCCGGGAGGCTACGGGCACCCTAAGGCTGCGGGACAGATGCAGGCAGCTGACTAAGCAACTCCCTTGCTGTTGGGATGTGAAGGAAACACTTAACACAAAACTGAGCAGAGGTAAATCTGCAGAGTCCAGAACAGCAGGTCCTGAACGTGCCACTGGACATGCAGATGGCAGCAGCATTGACTGTTTTAATGCAGCACCAGAATTTAACATGGGGTTAAGTTCCACCATGACACTGTGAGCAGGTGGCTTCTGGGGCAAGAGACCTCAGCAAAGAGTGTCCCAGTCATCTCTTAGAACACCTGCATCACCTGATATGAGTTACTTGTGAAGCAGAGTTTAGAAAAGCCTTTTCCAACCCATCTACTACCAGCACCTGCATGCCTCCAAACCATTATTAACCATTATTGGGAATTTCAATTGCTATGTGTCCAGGCCTGCCCAGGCAAGCCTTCATCTTTCTGATCTGGGCAATGTGGTATGGAGCTTACCAAGCTTGCCAGAAGCTGTGGAGACGTTTTTAGGCTGATGCCACCAAATCCTCATTACCAGTGGCATTGCTGTGAGCTGGAATCCAGTCAGCTCAGGTATGCCTGTTAAGTGCTGACTTAACATTTTCCTCTTAGTCTTTTGGTCCATGTGCTCAGCTCTCTTCCACCATCTTTTCTCTTCTTGCCTTTTCTGCCACAGGTCACTGGAGCACCACACTGGGTGGTGTGTGGCCAGGGAGGTGCAGAGGGGAATTCTCTAAAGCAGACTTAGGGAGGGATGGAGTATCACTGCCTCGACTCCACTCCTGTGCTTCTTGGCTGGGGGAGATGCTTGGTGAGTCTGTTTCAACATGATGCCGCATGCTGAATGAAGAAATTAACATTTGCCTTAGTTAGCTGGATGTTCATTTGGTGCTTCTCTCACTCTGCTCCTCAGTCTAGGCATGCAGCCAGCTGCAGCATGTAGATCTGAGCCCTCGCTGGTCTGTAACATGCTGCGGGAGATGCTGCACGTTTACAAAGCACAAATCATAGAATCATGGAACGGTTTGGGTTGGAAGGGACCTTTAAGCTCAACTCGTTCCAAGCTTGTGGCAGGGGCAGGGACACCTTCCACTAGACCAGGTTGCTCAACTCGGCATGAGCACTGCCAGGGATGGGGAACCCGTCACAGTGCCCGAGCGCCAGTTTCCTTTTAGGAACAGAGCAGCTCCGCAGCAGCACGCGGCAGAGACCTGCTTAAAACAGGAACACCCGCAGCGGCTCAGGTGCCAGAGCAACCACCCCGCGCCGGCAGGTGCTAGGTGCGCAGCGGCTCCTCCCGCTCCGCGCCCACCCGGCCCTTGGCAGTAGTGGCCCCGCACCGCAGGATGTCACTGCGGAGCCGGCACACGCTCATGCCTTCAGCTGCATTTTGCAGCTTCCCCTCCCGCGCTGCCGCCGCAGCCGCTCGCCGCTGCAGCACCACCGCCGGCTCTCCCATCCGACCCCGGCCCTGGAGGCCGGCAGCGAGCGCGAGCAGAACCCCCTAGCTGGGTCCAGAACGCGATTCCCCCCTTTCAGCCTCCAAAGTAACCCCTGCCTCTCGGGAAGAACATTCCCGCCTGGGGGCCGAGCGCCCGGAGCGGGGCAGACCGGGGGGGCCGCTGCCGCCCGCCGGGCCCGGACGCGGCCGGGCTGTGGGGCCCACGGAGCTCCCGCCGGCCCCAGGCTGCCTCCAGCCCCGGAGCATCGCGGAAGGAGGAGGGGGGCGAAAACGGGTTTCACTTCCGCCTGGTTGCAGGAACCACAAGCCCCCAGAATATATTAGAATAATAACAACAGAAAGGTTCCCCTTCAGCAGCCCGTTTTTTTGTGCCCCCCTGAAAAGAGAGGGTGGAGGGAGGAGGGGGAGAAAAAAGATAAAGGAGTCTCCCGGCAGGCAGAGCAATGTGGAGCTGGTGAGGACCGCGACCGGGCCGCCAGCATCCCGCCGGCAGCGCGGCCGCAGCCGGGAGGACGAGCGCACCCTCCCCAGCGCGGAAGAGGCCCGAGAGAAGGTCTGTCCTTTGCTTTTTTTACCTTGTGTGCCCGGCATGGCTCTGACCTGGGTGGAAAGGGAAAGGCAGGCGCCTTGCAACCTGCTTCACCAGCCTACAGCCAGCCAGCGGCAGCAACAACGCCCAGCCAGGGGGTCCCTGTGGGGCCGCAGGCTGGGAGGGACTGGGGAGAGCCCCTGAGCTACTTGTCAGTTCCCCTGCTCCCCGTGACAGTTTCCAAATCTTGTGCCTCCAAAGCACCTCAAGCCCTCTCTTCCTGTTCTCTGGGGGATCTGGTTGGTGTGAGGCGTCAGCAAGTATTGTCTGTATGGAAAATGCTCCTGCATGTGCCTGTGGTGCTGCCTGGGCCTGGCTGCCGTGGGAGCACTGGGGTGCCACTGCTGGCATCACTGGCTGGAAAGCTCAGGGAGCTGGCAGGTGCAGGCAGGGAGGGTGCAAGGCCAAGCCGTCTGTGGGCTCCTTTTGGTGAGGCCCCGGAGAGCCAGGTTGCTTCCTCTCTGAGCCAGGCTGAGTTCATTCCGAGGCCAGATGTACTTTAAGTGATTCCCCCTTCCAATAGTTTGAGATCAGTCGCTTTTCATGGATTAAACATTCCCCAACTTTTGCCATGTCGTTATTTTTAATCCGAAGGCTCAGCGGGTTGGTCTTGACTGTCTTTGCATGAGTCACTTCCAGACTCACAGGAGGAGAATAATTGGAATGGGCTCCCTCTGAAGCCAGTCACAGCCTAAACCTGCTCCTGTTTGCCAGCGACGTATCCCGTGTGACGTAACCCATCTGCCTAACCCTTCCTGGGTAGATCTGATGCCCTAGTTTGAGGGAACACCATCAAGCTGGCTGAGCAGTTTGAGAGATTGGCAGTGGTGAAATGGAGATGAGCACTGAACTTCTGCTGAAACAAGACAGCAGGTTACATGAGCCCCCTTCCCCTTGGCTCAAGTGCAAGGCTCCTCTTTGCCATTGCTCCTGTCACTTCAGTGCAGCGTTTAGGTTTTGTCTTTTTGCAAACCCTGGGCACACTGAGATCATGTAAAAACTTCCAAGAAGCAAAGTACTGAAAGGGGTCCCAGCTTAAGGGTGACTCACTGGCTGCTGGAACATACACCATCTTCAAGGCTTGGTTTAAAGAAGTAACTGCTCTAACACACTATTGTACCCGCACTTGTACATTGCTTTCTTCACAAAGGTAAAACTTGTGGTGTGTGTGTCTTCAAGTAATTCTTATTTGAGTGAGATTCAGGATCAAACAGAAACTCAGCTTGGGATAAGTATATCTTAACTAAGAGAATAAATGCATTGACTGCTGTGATCTCTGGTATGTTTTAAAAGGCAGAGAGGCTGTTAGGGCTATTCCTTCCTAACTAGGGATCATAAATGTGTTGATTCTGTTTATATTTATCTCCATTTGCCTTTTTGAATTTATGTTTGATGTCTGAGATAGCTGAACACCCTGAACTTAAGAGTGCTTTTATGCCTCAAACCTGTATACTGGTAGCTGAGCCTGGTACTTTGGAAGTCTTGCCAGGACCCTGCTCCATTTAATAGTACTTAGATGTGTAGCAATGTATAAGGCAAGTGATTTGCTTAAGGCCACTGAAAGGCTGTAGAAAAAGGCCCCTGCCTATCACTGCCATGTGGCTGCACTTCCCATTGCTATTCCTTTCCTCTCGCCCTTTTTTGGCCAGCTACAAGCATGATAGCTGGAGTTGTTTAGGAGCTACTTGCTCCCATTCCCTAACAATTTACAGAAATCACCATCACAAGAGGGAAGGGAAAGTGCAAGTTGTTCAGTCCACATAGGCACCTTAGAGAAATGAAAGTATGGCACAGAAGAAATAAGGAGCAGTGGGACAATGCAGACTGAGCTGGTTTGTGAAAAAAGAAAACCCAAGGATTCCATCTGTCATCTTGCTCATTTCCTTCACGAAGTCTGCAGTATATTGAAGACAATGTAAAAGTTCATTTGAATTAGGCTCCTGACTCACGTCTGAGAGAGTGAGGTGACTTCTCAGTGGTCCCACAGTTAGAGACACGGCTGGCATCCAGCTGGTGTGTGAGGGTCTAGTGGTGTGGTTAGTTGCAAAGAGTTTTAATAATGGGCTATAGAGAGCAGTGGTCCTTTTGCCTGTGAATGTGCAGAGAAAGGGAAAGAATTTTCTTTCATCCTGCTTCCCTTTGAATAACTTCTTCTGAGGTCCCTTCTGCCTGTGATGTGACTAGAATTTGTGGTGAAGACAGGATGTAACTATCACTTCCCGGTTGGCTGGAGAGGAAAGCCCTGCTTTAATCTGGTTTGGTGGTTATGTAGATCTGCTGCTGCAACATGGTTAGCAGGAGTGATAACATGGTGAAGTCTAACTCAACTAACCATAAATCCTTTGTGGAAACTGAGCCTTGTGAGGGCAGTCATCACTTCAGACTCAGTTACACTCAACTGTGAGCATGGGGTTTGTATCACATAAACATCTGCCTCAACGCAGAGGAGGCTGTGCTGTGGGTCGAGTAACAGTAGTAAGATCTCACCTCTGATTATACTGTTCACTGCAAAGATGGCAAAATAATTGAGAGGTGCTTTACCTGCTAACCAAATACAGTCCTGTAGGTAAAGTACAGCATAGCTCTGAACAGTATGGCACAGTGAGACCCCAACCTGCCAGGAGGCAGCAGTGATTCCCCCAGATACCTTCCAGCAGTGGCAGTGTTACTGGAATAGTATTGTATGGCTTTCCCTTTTAAACTGGGTTTAGTCTACAGAAGCCAAGGAAATCTGAATATTTATCTGCATTAGCAGAATGGCATTAAATCCCAGATCCTTAGCTGCCATAAATATTTATTGCTACCTTAGCTGGCTTCAAACTGCATCTCTGGCTGATTGCCATTCCTAAAGGTTATTTCAGAGAGGTTTTGGAGTGGACAAACACACTGACACACCTCCAGATTTCATATTCCCTGATGTTTCTAAACAGATTGTCAGTAGCTGACAAAACAACTAAATGAAGACAGTCAGTGAAGAAAGTATGGGCCCCAGAATACCTTTGGGCATCAATAGATATCACTTTAAATCATCAGATCATAGCTATTCCAGTATGCATAAGTACTCCCAGTCTCACAGTGCTCTCTGAGTGGTTTAAAATTGTGCTAGTTGAAGCCTTCTGGTAGAACAAGCTACTATCTCATTCTATTCTGAGATCCTATTGGATTTTTGATTCTGATTTTTCTCCCCAGTAGTCCTTCTTCCAGGTCAGGAAGGTTTCCCTGTGGAACCAGTTGTCCATTGTCACAGGGTCCTGGTCTGTTGAGCACAGCAGGGTATGTGTAGTATCTTCCTGGACACGTTGAGTCCATGGTGGGTGAACTGTTTGGGGAGTGCACTGGAGGAGGTTTCTGAGTGTAAAGCTCTGCAGTGTGGATGCTGGCTGTTGTGGGTGTTTTGTGGGTAGTGCTATAATTCATCTTAGCTGAGCAATGTCAGCCTGCCTTCATTCTTGATGAGTGCCAAGGGTCAGCTTAAGTACTATAAACATGTATTAATATTTACTAAGGCTCTATGGTATGGTCCCGAATATACCCAGGGAAAATCACAGAATAATTCAGGATGGCAGTGACCTGTGGAGGTTTTCTAGTCCAACCTGCTGCTCAAAGCAGGACAATTTATAGCAGGTTACTCAGGACTTTGTTCAGTTAAATTAACAGTATCTCCAAAACTGGAGAGCCTACAGCCTCTCTGATGCCATCCTAGTGCTTGACATGGAAACACCAATATCTAATCAGAATTCCCCATGTTTCACCTTGAGTCTGTTACCTTTCACTGTACGCCTTTTGGAAGAGTCTGGCTACATATTTTCTGTACCTTCTTGTTAGATACAGGTATGTATATGCATACATAGATAGAGAGTGAAGCTAGAAGAGATACGAAAGGGGCCTTTTTATAGATGCTGCTGGTTGCAGGCAGCTTTACAGTTTTTTCTATATTCTGATTTTTTTTTTTCTCTTGACTAGACCTTGTTGAGACAGGGTTTTGGAGGCAGTGGTAGTAGTAGTGCCAGAGCATATGTAGTACACTAAGATCTTCATATGGTTTGCTCTGATGTGAAGATTGGCACAGCTACAGCCTTGCAATGAACCTGCCACTGCCTCCTACATCCTGCCTCTGAATCCAGCATTATGTGACAGGCTGTGGACTGTGTTACAGGACTGGACTAAGTTCTGAATTACCTGTCTCCTTCCACCTGGGGTTTTCTGTGAAGCTCTTGGAGTTTCAAGTGCTTGAAACCCATTTGTTGGCATGTTTTTCCCCTAAGAAATTAATTTGATTTTGGAATGGATCCATCTTGCAATATTCACACAGTGTAAGACGTTTCCTGCCCTGTTCCTGCACTGTCCAAGTGTGCCCCAAGTGAAGTCACAGAGCAGTGTGTCAGCAGTTTCCCTAACTTCAAACCTTGGATGTTATCAACTGGCAGCATTTTCTGCAAGGCAGCTTTTGACTGTGACCATCAAACACTGCAGAAGTGGTGTGTTTCTGTGGGAAAGGGAAGGTAAAGGTAAAGGTGTGGATCACCTGCTTTGGCCTCGCACATCACTAGCACCTCGAGAGCTTTGGAACATGCGTCAGCCAAAGCAGAGTAGGGATGAAACCATGTAGTAGATAAAACCTCCTGTGTATGCCAAATAATGGATAATGTCCCAGGCTAACACTGCTTTTGGGTGCTGCGGCTGAAACATTTAGACTTCATTTTCCCCATCCCTCCCAACTCCTGGACCTGCTCCTGTTCTATAATGTTGTTGTCAGGTTGTACAGAGTTTGTTAATGAAATCTTTTCCAATAGGCTCACACAGGTTAATGCACTTTGACCTACCCATGGTGGTGTATTAATAATCAGTTAAACACTGATTGAATTCTCAGTAATAATTCCTGTTCTAGCCCTTAGTGGATGATTCATGCAGAGGTTAGCAGAGAGCAACAATCAAGCAGTGTATCTTCCATAATAAGACAGAGG